TACATTATAATTTACCATGGCCTCGGTTTGATGCGCTCGGCGCTCTGATTTGTGGGAAGTATCCAGGGAGGTCCATTCCGGCGTCAGCATAACACTGACATTAGCCGTGAAGACTCTGGGATCTAGGCTCGAGATTGTGCCGCACTACTCAGATAGTCACGTCCATCCTCGATTCCATTGTTAACAATCTGTGACCATTTGAGGTCATCCTCGGAAGCCCAAGGAGAAGCTCATTCTGCTGCTCGTTCCTCTCTCCACAAGATTACATATCTTTCCGAAAAGAAAAATGCAATATGCAAACAGTAAAGTCGAGTAACAATAATGAAATCAAATTATCCTGAGTAATGCAAATTCAAGTAGTTTTGGGTTGCCTGTTTGAAGGAAAGCCTGTAAACGCCGTTACACCAAAGGGTCCTTAAGCAAGGGTATGCAGGGAACGAGCAATTAGTACGTTTTGCTACCAGTAGGTATCTAGCCTGAATACTAGTGTTACTACCAAATGTTATGATCAATGATTTACATTGATTGTATTTCAGGAGGCTCAATACTGTAAAAGCTATCCACATCTGCTAACAACATATCTAGATCCTGTATTGCAAGATCGCGGTACCAGCCGTTGGAACCTTTGCAGGCATAGTGCCAACTCAGATGGATGGGACGAATTTCACCCGAGATGCGACGGTCGCGGATATTCGGTTACGGGGGGAGGGGGGGGACTCCCTAATAAATAAGGGCGGGGGTCCTCCTSGGAAATTCTAGTGAAAATGACCCCTAAAAGGGACTGCATTGTGAGATAATGGTCGTGGCAGCGCTAAAATTCCACCCCTAAGAGGGACCAATCAATGACAGGTCATTCTGTTTTGGTTTCCCGATTTTATTGGTGTTTTTGCACAAGCATGAAACGCCCTTGGCTCGTAAGATCAATCATCTAATTAGCAGTTGTGGTTGTTGTTGATCCTATACTAATGACGGCTTAGGGTCGTTGTATACCCTGAAAAGGAACACAAAACTCAGTTGGTGGGAATTCTCCTCATTATCACCCTAAGCGGGACCAAAACACMGATTTCAAACCCTAAAAGGGACGACACGCACCCCCTTTTTTCCCCCGTGCATTCGGTTACCATTGTCCACGTCTACCAATACATTTTTGGGGGCTACACTGACRTATCTTGGCACAGGAAGTAAGAAAACCAATTCTTAGGTTTTCTGGACGTCACACGTCTAGCCCGGGGAGATATGTTCGACGAACGGATTGAAAAATGACCCTAATAGGTACGCACACATAAATTAATTCAGATATCGATTCCAGACCCTAAAATGTACGACTATTTCATTGACGTCTCTTTAACAAGAGAAAAGCTCAAGTTTAACAAACTTTAGAAAATCAATGTCGATGCATGGTTGTTGAGGTTAATAAAATCTATTTCTTCTTCTTCGGGGTGTCTACCTTTATCTCTTCCT